CGCTTTGCGGGCCCTGTTCCTTTTGAGAGTCGCCCATAGGTGTTTCATTCCGGGGCTGTGCGAGCAGCCTTGGACGTCCATGATGAGGTTTCTGCAGCAGTGGCGATCACTTGAGAAGAAAGACGGCATCAAAACTACTCGCACAGATTCATGTGCGTTTGGCTCTCCCCATCTGAAGAGCTTTCGTTTCCTGTCAGCTTGGCTTGATACAAGTGGCATCGAAAAGAAGTGTGACCGCAGTCATCATCATATTGTTGTCGAAGGCAAGTACACGAAGGCATCAGCATCTTACACTTTCCAGTTAGCGAGGGCGATTGCTTCATGTTTTGCTGTTTCTATTCGAGCTCGACAAGCTGCGTTGAAGGATTTTGAGGAAGGTAGTGTCAGAGGGCTCGAGAACCAGCTGGTGAATGCAGTTGCTTTGCAGGCTCCCTGGCGTGAAGTTGAGGCATGGCAGTACCAGACAAAAAGGCACATCAACATACTCGAACTCAAGAGTGTCTTGCGGCTTGCCGAAAGGCTTGTGAGAAAGGGACGGGCATGCCGTATAGTGAACTTTGTAGATTCCAACGTCATTCGCTGTGCTGCTTCAAAGGGGAGATCTTCTAGTAGGGCACTGACGCCGTTTCTGTGTCGATATGGTGCTTTGTGCGTTGCCGGTGGCTTGTATTTCAGCCTGCCTTTTGTCCCCACTCGGCTGAATACTTCAGACGATCCTACCAGAGATCGGCAAGTGAGAGAACCACTTGATTGCATCCCAGTCGCTTCTTTGAATGAGGAGGACATTGAGGCTCTTGATACAGTTGTCAGTTTAAGGAGATGGGCGTCAAATTGGGTCAGGTTGTGCATTGGACTTCTTGGATTTCGTGGACTTCCTTTTGCTCAGTCCGGGCACATTCTTCATGGACTTCCTTGGACTTCGTCCTTCTTTGGCGCAACCGTCTCAGCCAATCTTGATCATCCAATGGAGTTCGATCAGACGCTTGGTTTTCCTGGTGAAGGCCCTGTCTTCCTGGCTCCACTTCTCATCGCCTCTCTGCCCTTCCTCTCTCTCCTCTTTGCTCCTGGCAGCTAGCAGCCGTAGTTTTAGGGGGCGCGTGTTTCACACAATGCCATGGAATGCTTGGACCCAAGACTCAAGGGGATTGGCACCGAAGAGCTGCAAGACTAGCTCGACCACCTCTGCCACAGGGAAGACCTGTTACAGTCGCAACCTCTGAGAACCGTGAGAGGCTGTTGCAGGAGTTTTTCAGTTGGTGCAATAGAGCAGGTTTTGAGATGCAGGCATGGCTTGAGCTGCCAACCCGGAATCTCGAATCAATCAACGAGATTCTACAGCTTTATGGTAGAAGACTCTATGAGGCCGGACGACCATACGGAGTTTTCGTAGAGTCGATAAACAGCTTGGTGTCCTTCAAACCTGTGCTACGACGTCAACTGCAGCCGTCGTGGGATGTTGCTTTTGCCTGGGTACGTGAAGAACGTCCCCAACACCACATAGCAATGCCTTGGCAAATCCTGGCTGCAATGCTGACAGTTGCACTTGGCTGGGGATGGTATGAGGTCGCAGGTGTTCTGTCGCTTGGATGGGGTGCCCTTCTTCGAACTTCAGAAATGACTGGAGCCCTGCGGAAACACCTCCTTCTGCCCTCGGACACGATGAAGTCAAATACTTTCTGTCTGCTTAGCTTGCAGGAACCAAAAACAAGATTCACAGCTGCAAGGCATCAAACTGCAAAATTGGATATTGGAGACCTTGTTCGTGTGTGTGAGCTGGCATTTCAAGCTAAAGCTCCTTTTCAAAGACTATGGCCCTTTTCGTCCCACACCTTTAGGCTGCGGTTTAAGGACATTCTTGGTGCATTGAGTTTGTCCACGTCTGTTCAGAATGGTTGCAAACCCCTTGACGTCGGGTCGCTTCGACCCGGTGGAGCGACATGGCAACTGCAAACAACAGAGAGCCCAGACTTTGTCAGGAGGAGGGGACGGTGGATCAACGCCAAAGTCATGGAAATATATATATATATACAAGAGATAGGCTTCATACAGTACATTTGCAGCTGACGCAGCCTCAACGTGAACGTGTTTTTGGGTTGGCTCGTCTTTTCCCTACAATACTGCAAAAGGCTGAACTGCTGCGACAAGCAAAGATTCCAGGCAACGCCTGGTACCCGCTTTTTTCAAGAGGCTAGCCCTTGTGGCTGATGTTGTGGGAAGTGATGGGTGGAGTTGGAAGATGGCCTATGGCCATAAGTTCGTGATCCCGCACTTGCAGAGAGTTGGAAAAGAAGGGCCTGTGACCGAATCTTTATATATATATATATATTGCAACATATATTACTATATACCCCTGGGAGCCCAAGAACTCGAAGGTCTTTTTTCGGTGACCCAATTTTCTGGATTTTCCTTTACTTCAGTCGGTCAAACATTTATGACCCTGTTGAAACTCTTGGTGCACATTGGAAGAACCATCGGGCACCTCAAAAAAGCTGGGTCTTTGTGCTCCACCGGTCTCTTCGGAGCAGCGGTGCCAACGGTATTGCTCCGTTTTGCTACGTGGCATGGTGCATTGTGACTCAACAGCTGGACGTGCGTTTTGCATGGTGTGCTTCTTCCTTCTGCAGTGTGCAGCTACAACGTGTTACTTCTACGGTCCTTTGAGGGTCATACGGTCCTTTGAGGTCCGTATTGTGCATTTGTTTCTCTCCTGTGATCATCTGAGGTATAAGAAAAAGGCCATTGAGGCTTACTGGGAGGAATGCGAAGTGAAGAAAGGTCGGCTTCTCAGTTGGAAAGATGATCTCGAAGCAGCCCAGCCGCTCTTGGCTCGACCTCACTTTGAGGAGCTGTCATGTTGCAGCCAAGAGTTGTTTGCACTCTTCCATTTCCGGGTGTCTGTTTGAAGCGGAGAGGACATTCGCACTGGGGCTGGGCAGAGTGAAATGCGGAGGTTTCACCCAATGCCCACAGTTGATGAATGCAACCATCACCTCATCAGTCTCCGGTGCATCACAGTGACATCCAATTCCCTTCGAATTGGACGTCACAAATACCGAATCTCTCCTCCTTGTGCTTGTGGAGGCCATGTGTCTCGCGTGGCAAAACACTCTGAGGTCGAAGGACAAAGGCTGTGGCCAAGGCGGGCGGCGGACCGGGCGGACCACACGGAACTCGATGCAACCACTCGGCGGACCACACGGTCTAGGTCACGGTGGGCGGTGTTTTTTTGGGAGGAAGAAAGCTCTACAAAGTCAGCGTTTGTTACTATACAGTAGCTTCTTGTTACTAGCGTCCTTGCTCCTAGTAGCGATGCCCTTTGTTCCAAGTGCTTGAAGCTTGAGATGCAGCTTTTGCCTCCCGCTCCGGGGAATCAATGGGAAAACCATGTGGCAAACTGGTGAGCTCCGGTCCAGATCACCCATATATGCATATTCTCACCGTGGGGCCCTCTGCAGGTCTTCGGGTCTTCGTTATTTCAGTTTGACAGGTTGAAACAACGGGTTTACGGATGCCTCCTGAAGCCTCTGGCGCCTCCAGCGCGTCCAACGGAGGCCAAAGCGGAGGCAAAGACGAAGAAGGCCGAGCCAAAAGCAGCTCCGAAGGCGAGAACGATTCCCTTTCTGGGGATGATCGAGAGACCTGAGGGGGGATGTTTTTGGTGATGTTGGGGATGGACAGAATGTATATGATCATTGTTTTGGTCTAGCTAGCCCATTATGAGTATGTCTGTTTGTTTGTTTGTCAGACTATACAAGCAAACCGCTTGGTTTCCTGAGCTTCTAAGATTCGAAACCAATACTGTAATATTGCATGTCCGACTGTTCAAGTTGCACGTTGTCTGCATCCACATACCTGGAGTCTCGGCCTTCTTCTTCTCATGAGCACTTGAGCACGGGGGAATCTAGAAAACTCCTAAGAGCTATGAGCTACGATTGACTTGTGCACCTGGTGCACCTGGTGAGGCGAAGGCGAAGGCGAAGGCCAAGGTCAAGGCAAAAGCCAAGGCCAAGGCCGAGTCCAAGGAGACGCCCCGCGGGCCGCTCGCAGAAGGGGGGGGCAGCGGATGTCCAGTTCTGCGGAAAGGGAGGGGAGGCGGGGAAGAATCATGGGGCTTTACAGGTGAAGCGATCGTTTCTCTGCGGTTTGTTTAGCCAGCCCGTTTCTGTTCGATGGAACATATGCTGCAGGTGACTGGCAGCAAGATGACATGCACTTAGGAGTGGGGTCTTGATGTTGTTTCATTCCAGGTTCTGTCTTGACCAGCTTGGAGCTGCTTCTGTGAGGGTAGAGGCTTGCATCAGACCCAAAGAGAGACGATGGCGCCACCGACTCATACCACCCGGGTCAGAGAGAAAACTGAGCGCCACTCGGGCGCTCTATCTGCTGGGTGATTCTCAACCTTCGACCTGCTGTAACACGTGGACGCACACACGGGACGCACACACGGGACGCACACCAGGAGGTGAAGTCTGCGGGGAATTTCAAGGCGAGTGAGACGGAAGGGCTCGGATCTTGACCTGCGGATCGTGGCTGAAGGGCTCGGATCGTGTGGGGGGAAAGGATCCAAGTGGGAAGGCTGTGCTCGGAAGAGGGCCCAATCAGACTGGGAGAAGGGACTTGGAGTGAGGAATTTGTGGTCAGTGGTTGTTGATGGGGAACAAAGTAAAGTACGCACTTCCCCATGAGTACAAAGCAAGTTCTTGCAGCCCAGCAGCGGGATACGCCGATCCGAAGATGAACAAAAGATCCGAGTCTTGCCCAGACCTGTCCACCTATCCCTCCAAGAGATTGGGGCTTTGCCCCACGTAGACTGGCTCAGATCTCCAATCAGCGGCTATCCTGGTATCCAAGAGCCTTTCTGCCCATACATTCAGTCGACTGCTCGCTGAACGTGGGTCTTCTCCAGCCCTCGAACTTCGGACTCCCGAACGCACTTTCTTGGCCGCGTGGGACAGGTGTGCGTCTGCGGAGGCGCTGGCGGTATTGGACAGCCGCTGTCCATGCTCATGGCCTTGGATCCCAACGTGAAGGCAGGATTCTGGGATCTTTTGCGCGCCGAGCAGCATGTGTGTTCTGGTCTGACCCGCGTGTGAGACGAGGGGCCGGGCTATGGGAAATAATTAGGCCAGAGATGGCCAGAGTCAACCCTTGCTTCAGTCTTCCGCCATATTGGTTTTCTAAACAGTTTTCAGATCATGCCCTCCAAAGCGAATCACGGAGTGACGCAAGCGAAACGGGCATTCTCCACTTTCCAAAAACACGTGCTACACATCACTTGGTCGAAACACCAAGAACATCCAAGAACCCATTCTTTGCCTTTGCCTTTGACCTGAACCCGGGACCAATCATCGATCGCCTCCTGCCCTCGCGGCCTCGTTCATCACGCCGACAAAATACTGACTTGTCCCCGTCCAGGAGTTGTGTGTCTTTGATCTCAGCGTTGCCATGGTGCCCCCCGCGGGCGTCGCAGCGGATCTGGGACACCTGGAGAGGCACGGGGGATGGCCGGATTCCGGGCGGATTCCGGTGGATTGCTAGGCAGGAGCTGCTTTTCCAGATTTCGCAATCATTTTCAATCAGAGTTTTAAATTAAAAAGGACAAAGAAGAGAAGTGGATCATCTCGGGTTGCCAACCGTCAGCGCCGACATCTCAATACCTCCACATCATTTTTCTCCCCGCGTGCACACGCACGCACACTCTCGTGCTGACCCGTCCAGTCCGTACAGGAAGAGTGACGTGAAGGGCTACGTGATGGAGGTCGGTCAAAAGCCGATCGACAACCTCAAGGAGTGCCCAGGTTTGAACATCAAGGTCGTTCGGATGGATCGATCCCCAGGTCTGAAGTCGAACAAAGCAAGTGCAGTGGCGTCTTTGTTGGTGTGAAGTGTCGTTCGTGTCGATCGTTTGAGCGTTGTCGTTTTCTGCTTCGATCCAAAACAACTTGATTTGCATGGTTGGGATACAGGCATGTTTGTATGAGGATTCCCAGAGATTTCAAAGACTCTCAAAGCATCCATGTTGGGTAGGGTATGGGGTACGGTACGATATGTGTTGGGTCTTGAATGAGGGTGCTACAATATATGGACCCGGCTTTTGGTGCGACAACAATGACGCATCTGAATGTTTCTTCTTTTTTTTGCAGGCATAGGGAACCTGCAGCAAGAAGCCTTGTTCAGGGTGGAAAGATCACCCAAGATGTTAAAAGACGTTTTAATGTTCGACCTTACATGGTGCGATGAGATGCCTACCCTCCCCTGTTTGTAGAGGGAAACTTGTCTTTCCAGGGGCCATGCCATCCACTTCCATGATTGTTGGAGGGAGGGCAAATTGTTCACCATGTCTACTTTGCCGATTCGCATTCTGTACATTTGAATCGCCATTTTTGGGGCTCATTCATTTTGGCCCGGCGGCTTTCCGCTGGGTCACAGCCTGGCTTTGATCTTGGAGAGTGGTAACAGCTTGGCTTCGACCCTTTTGCAAGTCGTTGCACTGGTCGATGCTTTGAAGATTTGGGGATGGGTCATACGCTCTCCTGGTGCCATGACCATCTGGAGCCACTTCTTCCACCGATTTTTCCCCCCGCGAAGGTCTTTCACAGCACCTTATGGGGTCCCCCGACCGTTGGGCTCCGCACCGCCGGGCGCGCCTCAGGTGCCTCACCGGATGCGACTTGGTCCTGGTGCCTGCAGGCATGCCCCGTAAGCCCGGCATGACGCGCGATGACCTTTTCAAGGCACGGCGGTGGGGGGCCAGCTTGGTCCTGGCGCGCGCTGGCGGGCGGGAGCGGTTTGCGCGGACAGGTGGTGAGTGCTGAAGTGAGGTGATTGAAAGGGGTCTTGATCATGGCGACTTTCCCACATGGATCGAGCAAATCTGTGCAGTTTCACTAGATGTATACTGAGGTGATCATGATCACATGATCATCATGATTATGGGGTTCAAATGATTTCAAACAATATAGAATATATATATATATATATAATAGCAATCACATCAATGTACCATTGGAACTTCACCGGGGTACTGTAGCTGAACGTGTCTTTCTTTGGGAACTCGTGAACTCGTTCGTGTGGAGTTTCAGCTCTTTCGGCGTCCGCCCAGAGCTGCAGGTGAACGCTGACATTGCCAAGGGCATTGTGGAGGCATGTGCAAAGTTTTGCCGGGGCTGCCCAGTCGCGAAACGTTTGAAATCAACCGTTCGAACACTGGCAGTGGGTGGGTGGCACGAGAGTCGACGGTTTTCAAGACCATTGTGAAAGGGAAGACCCCATCCAGTCTGCACAGACAACTCTCATGTAGCTAGATAGAGACGATGTCCGGTTTTGCAACGGACCTTCACATGTCGAATCGATTTGGGCGTTACTCCCGGGACCTTCCCGCGGCGTCACTTCCTTCTCCGACCGTGCTGTCGGTGGTCGGTGTTTGCTTCGGCCGACCGAGGCCCCGAAGCCGTTTTGGGGCTCATCGTGAACCCCGTCAACTCCATCGTGCTCGGAGACCCGGAGGAGTCCTCCTCCCCGTCGGAGGAGTCAACTCCCATCTTCGAACGCACGGAGATGCGTCGGCGTCGGGCGCCGTGGTGTTCTTGAACCAATTGGAGTGCGGGGTGGCCGACGGCGTGTTGGGAGCCTTCGACGGGGCTCAGTTGGCCGATCTGACGAGACCGTGCACGATCTGATCCCGTTTCGGAACGTTTCGCACAAGATGAGGCCACTCAAAGGATGAAGCACTTTCTTTGAGAAATCGAGACCAAAAGACCGTAGCGCCTTGCGGGAAGTCTGCGCCAGCACCCAGGCCAGCCATGGCTGAGCTGTATAAGAAGAAGGGTCTGGCCCACAGTGCCGCAGTTGTGCTGTTCAGGGCACTGCGCAGCGAGAGCGAACCGTCCGTTCACCGTGTCAAAGACTCGAAGTAGACTCAAAGCGAGGTCGGTTTTGCCCATGTTTTTCTTCGATTTGGTTTGCAACCTCTTACAAGAAGTTCATGCAACTGGGGCTGAAGTGAGCAAATAATCCTCGAGCTTTTTTGGCGTCCCAACTGGATTGCTCGCAGCTTGAGCAGTTGCAGTTGGTTGGAACCTATCTTGGCGAACTTTTCAGTGTCAATCTGAAAGTCAGGAGGTTAGTTTGTACCGTACCTATATAGTATCTCTGGACGGTCAGGAGATTTTCGCACCAATCCCTTGAGTCAACCGAAAAAGTCACCGTTTTGCTGTTGTTTTTTCCACTTGAAAACTCCAGTCACAGGCTTTAAGGCCTGAGAGTCGCAGCCACAGTGTTGATCAACTCCATGCAGGTGTAAACCATTCTGGAGACTGGGGGATGAAATCTTATCACCCCAACATTGACTAGTCCAACAAACCCCACATATGCCTGCATTGACCTCCCAAACCACCCCAACCGATCGTCAATATAATATGCCGGTCCCAAACAGCTCGTGTCTGCGGTCCAAGTCCCATGTCTTCCCCGCACGGAACGCCGCACACGTGAAACCCGGCGGCCGCCAGGGGTTCCGCCGCACGCGCCGGCCGAACGGATTGGCTCTCTGCGACGCTGAGCTGCGCTGCGCGTCCGGCAGGTCTCGACCCTCTGAAGATCGTGGGCATCACCACTCTGGACGTGGTGCGTGCGAACAAGCGGCGGCGCTCGGAGGGGGTCGGGTGGGGGGAGCGGACCCAAGAAGTGGGAGGGAGTTGGGGTTAATCAATTCGTAAACACTTCTAACTCAACGTGGATTTGGTAGAATAGGATACCTTTAGGATCCTCTCCCTCTTCCAAAACCGTCGCTTCCGGCGTTCCACTTGCACGTCGGCCGAGCCTCGCGGCCGAGCCGACCTCTCGACCGTCCGGACGGTCGGTGTTGGTGCGGCTCCTGAGGTTCTCCGGCGAGATCACGGGAAAGAACCCCAACTACATCAACGCACGGGGCACCGAGGGGCACTGATTGGCACCGAGAGGGTGGTCGTGGGGTGCAGGTCCCGGTGTGGACCTGGTCCAAGACCGAGGTTAAGACCTGGTGTTGAGCTTGTGCGTTTGGCTGTGACACGTGTGCCAAGGCAGACAGATGGGACAGGCTTGTATCACGAAAGCGATCTCCGAAGGAGGTCAGCTGAAGTTCTAGTTTACGATTTGAAGGGATCAATTGAAGAATCACTACAACAACGGCTCCCCCCCAAAACGGACACGACAATCACGACATCACAAACAACATCCCCAGGTGAGTCTACAGGTGTTCTCACATTCGTCATTGTCATCGCTTTCGTTCCCCGCCTCTCAAGTAGAATCCCTTCTTCCCAATTAAAAAGAGACATCCCAGAACTCAAAATGTATTTTTTTGATGGATTTGATTGAAACTGCTACTGGTCACCTGAACGGGGTTGTAATGAGGCCATGGTTTGGAAGACCTCTCTTATTTTTTCACCTGCCTGCACGAAACCAAACTGTAGAAAGCAATGAAAAGCATGCATGAACACATCAGGTACCCAGTTTTGAACACAGGAAGTCCCAGAGGTCGCGCAATGACCATCAATAGGTCGCGCAAGAGAACTACCATACTCCGCCTCTCAAGTGATACTTTCACTAAAAGCTGTCTATGAGCAGCATTTGCCAGTTTTGTTCTTCCATCAATTCACCCAGTCTTAGATTGGCGAACCGACCCGCTTGCGCAACGCTGGCTTCATCGTCCAAGTCCGGCGGTCTCCCTCCAAGCGACTTCGCCCTGAACCGACCGACGGCCGACTTCGCCACGTGAGGTGCCAGTGATTGGAGGTCATGCTGGCACCACCATCCTTCCCCTGTTCTCGCAAGACAAGGCCCTTGTTCCCCGAGTCGCGACCGCTGTCCACCGGTGTCCCCCGAGTCGCGGTTGGGAGCTCCAGCGGCTTCGTGGCGGGGTTTGAAGAGTACGTGATTCAGATTCAGCACGCCATGTCGCCGATTCAGCACGAAGGGAGACAATCGGATGCACGAATGGTTTCAGCATCCACAACACTACCAAGAGTATTGGTGCAGTGAAGACTGAATGGCTCTAACCAATCAATTCCAATGAAATCATATATTATTGTTTCCTCCATATTACTCTTTTAGATGAATAAAGGGGGGATTCAGTCCAAGAGCTCCAGCAAGTGCTCATGTTCTCTGGCTCCAGCGTAGCTCGGGGTGCGCCGATGACGCTTCTGCCGAGCGCCAGGAGTCGGGTACCGGAGCAGACTCGGATCGTCAGATGTTCGGTGTTTGCCTCTGGGAAAAGCCCACCATGTCTGGTGAAGGTCTTTTCTGAAAGGGCACGTTCCATCGCAACTGGATTTGGCTGCGTCTTTGGAAAGGATATGCAGGTTTTTCTCATGATGAGCCCAAAAGCCACGAACAGAGGTCAGACACGAAGTTGTTTCATTGAGTTTCATCATGCGCGCCCTGATGTCTTGGTCTCTAAAAGAGGAGGTCAGTCACGATACCTGACTTTCAGGAACAGATTTACAGTAGATGAGATTCCCTTTGGAAATGGTGTGGTGATATGATGGTGTTTGACAATCCCTTTGGAAATACCTTATGAATTAGCTTCCCCAAGACGTGCATCCACAGCTGAAAGTGAATCTTTGCAGGAGGAGGCCAAGCTGGTGGCTAGTGCCACTGGCTTTACTGACCTTGCTGGTCGGAAGCATAGCCCATGTCGAAGCCGGTGGGGCCATTCGTTTCTGGACCGACACGCTCTGCCTGCGCCAAGCACGCTTTTATTTTCTTTCCATTAGGCAAGTTCAAAGGGAGTCATGTTATATTAGATACTTGTAAGGTAGAGTTGACTTTTGCTCGGATCGCGGTGTTTGCTGTGAGTTTAAGCCCTCTTCAACAACACCCTGCTTTTTTTCTGCCAACGATTCCATGATCATTTGCGGCACTGTATCCCACGTGGTGCACCATTTCTTTCATCCAACGTGTTTGATCCGGGCCTTCTTTCCACTCGGGAAGACCTTGGGATGGCCTAAAAGGCCTTGCGGGCAGAGCTCTGAACGGGTGACTTGGACCGACCCTCGGGTCGTTTCGGCGAAGGATCGGGCAAAGGTCGAAACGACGGAGGGAGCGGGGGCGACGGATCGGCGAGGTTTTGTGATTTGTTTTTCTTGGAGACGGTTTTTTCTCTTCTTCTACAGTTTCAATAGATGCATGATGATGCATGTTCTCTGTCTTTTGGCCTTTTTTCCATTTTTTTTGCTTGAAGTCATGTTCCACACAACAGTCCAGTCCACTCCCTGAATCGGATGTCGAAAGAGAGACAGGAGAGACAGGAGAGACCTCATCCGTCTTGGTTGGGGATCTGCCGACGCGCCGCCACACGTGACCTTCTTCCCAGGTCTGCGAGAAACTTCAGTCTGCCTTCTGTGGCCCAGCGCTGCCAGGGCCCTGAACTAAACTCCTGGGGAAGACTTGGTTGGACTCGGTTCCATTCGCTTGTCATGAAGAGGAAATCATGAGGACATGCCAACTGCAATTACAAGACAAGTGGGTGCAGGTCTGGTGTTCTGGAAGGATCATCTGAAACTGATCAGATCTCGAGTCGCTCACGGATGTCGAGAATCACAATCTGTGCAGGTGCATGACACTTTGTTTCAGAGGATTTTGCAAAGATTTCTATTTCTTTAAAGACCGAGTTCCAGGTTCGATGTGCAGGTCTTTCTGACAGCCTGCTGGCGAGCGCGCTCAATAGTTCATCTAACTTAATAGTGCAGACAGTCGCTGAGTCGATGAATCAACAATAAGCAACATTTGGATTGTAAAACCTCTTCACTACTGGGGGGGTTGAAAAACAGAAACACACATCGGTCGACATCAAGTGGCGGATAGCGGGTGTCACAAAAACCCTTCGGAGACCCTGAAGAGGTCCTGAATGTCATCAGTGGGTTGCTTCAAGGTTGGAAAATGCCCCCCGATCCACCGATCCACAGGTTGAGTACACTGAGTACACTCATGTACACTCATTCTTGAAAGAATCCATGGAACCTCTTGGTTTCGTTCAGTGAGCCGAAATACTTACCTGTTTTGGTCTTGAACCAGTCTCTCCATAATCACGATGGTATCCATGTTCAATACTTCAAACAGGGAATAGTCACTAGTCATGGAAGAATCGTGGATGGCATGCCGCGGTGGATGGGCTTCTTTTTTCCACCACCGGTGGCACCCAGGACCTCGGAGCAGCTGCAGGTGGCGAGAAGAGCTGAGAAGGGCCTGGCGAAGAGCTCCTCGGGGATCCAGGCGGATCCGCGAGCTGCGCCGGGAACCGGCGTGGAGCTCCCGCCGGTTCGGCAGAGCGTCTCTGGCGTGTTCATGGTTTTAGGGGGAAGTCGGACGTGTCCCCCCCTGTTTCAGGTGTTCTTCTGTTTAGATTCTTAGCTTGGACAGGCGTTTCGGATTTCGGTGTGGCGCCCCGTGACCGGGAGCGGTGTGGTGCAGGCTGCTAAGACTAAGAGGCTGCTGGCCATTTTATAGTGGGGTTTGGATGACTCCGCTCTTTGGCTTCAGCATGCAGTACCTCTTTGGCCTGTACGAGGATGACGGTTCATTCTTCTTCTTAGTCTCAAGGTAGAGGTTCTACATGCTTCAACCACAACGCGTGTATATGGATGTTTTCAAACTGGCGAGGTGCTTCCTTGATATTCTTCTTTCACCGGCCGGTGAAAGGAAAGGGCGCTCACACGTTTGGTCTCACGGCGTAGCGCACCGAAGCGGTGTCCGTCCTTTGGTCCTTCACACTCGGTCCGTTGTGCGGGAGTTCATATGTCGTCCAGCGCCCATTTGCAATCTTTTGCGAGGTTTAAGCAGGCTTCAGCCTCAATAAGAACTGAGAAAGGCAAACAGTTGCCAACAAGTCGGATGAGTAGTGATTGTGGCAGTGGGCAACAACTTGCGAAACCTCCTGGCTCACCAACTCACAGCGCTTAGCGCCACGGAAGGCTTAGAAGGCTTACCCTTTTGACACTTTTCTTTGCAGATGGTTTGCTGAATGGAGATGCTGGCACGCGTCAGGCGGAGAAGAAGTACGATGGCATTTTGGATGAGCTAGAGGAGAGGAACTTGAGGATGTTGGTTACCACACAAGAACATTTGGTCGTGAATAAAGCTTCGGTCAGAGCATACATAGGAGAAAGCTGTTGATCTTCATGCTGAAACGGAGGCCCTAAGTCGTCCAAGTAGCTTGTTGTAGAAAAGCCCTGTTCAAGATGATCAGCTTGGTTGTCTTGTCATTTTCCCAACAATCGTTGGATTTTTTAACTGACACCCACGAAGTTTGATCTTCGTGCAGAACATTGCAGACGGATAGAGACGTCTATTGGTGTCTCAAAACAGAGACGTGGCAAAGACCGGAAAAGAAGGCGAAGATATCATTTTGTTTGGAATTTGTTTAAGGAATGTTTAGCCCAGTTCTTGGCGACTCCGAAGTCGCCTGGCAGAGAATGTGGGGGATTTGAATTCTGGTTTTCGACACAGGTCTGTGCTGTTGACGTGTGCTCAGCCTCCAGGAGGCTGCGGTGATCCAAGAGCAGGACGAGGGCGAGGAGGGCGAGGAGGAGGAGGACAGTTGGGGATCCTGGATCCTGCTAGCTTGGACAGTGAAGACTGGGCACAGGCCCAGACATGGGTGGATAGGGATTGGATTGGACCAAAATGGGATTTCCAGCGATTTTGGGAGGTCGATTTCCGTTTGTGACACGCCGCCTCATGGTTCCGGCCTCCGAAGTGGTTCCCCCCCGTGTGGTTTTTTCATCCTCTTCTTCGGAGCTACACGACCATGTCCCGACCGAGGTTGGAAGGGGATCAAGGAGACCTTCGGCTGGGTCCTGGTGGCGGATGTCTTCATCATCATCGGGCGCCCCGGACCGTGATGGACGTGGGTGGCGGTGGCAATCCCTGGATGAGATGGGGGAAGGTGGAGGAAGGTGGAGGTGGACCCCTTGGACTGTTGTGGGGAGACAAATGTCTTGACTAGCTCGCAGTCTATTTGGCGGGTGATATGGCCCGGCCGTTGCATATTTCTGGGCGTCTTGTGGTGAGTGGCCAAAGAAAGACATAGTTTTGGGGACCTCAAAACCGAAAGAAGGATCGGTTCGACACAGACACGCACCCCGGTGAATTCCCTCTGCCCATTGATATGATGGGGTTTGGGGTTACCGGGCAGAAGTTGCTCCTCTCCCACGCACTGCTTGAGGCTCTCCATTTGGCTGATCGTGGGCTTTGCGCTGGCGCAACTCTTTAACATTGATCAAGTCTACCGCGCCCAAAACGCAATCAGGGGTCGCTTTTGGGGCGCGTGTCGAGCAACCTTTACACCCAGTCTCAGTTTTCTCTCACTTCTTCTCTGGACGTTTTCGGGCTGTGCGCTGCCTTCTGGCTACAAACTTCTGGGTTTAGTCTGATAGGAATTTCTGAACCTCAATAAGACATTGGTCATATATGGTCATATATGGTCACGTTGTCCTGAGCCTACTCGAGGATGTCAGTAGATGGACATTTGCAAGACCACACGGGCCACTGAGTGGTGTGGTCAAGTAGTACTAGCCTGTTGCAGGAAGTGCACACAGATGGGAGGATTCCAACCCCCCTACCCCTTTCAGAACTGCTCTATCCAACCCCACGCGCCTGAGCCTCATCGCGTCCCGAGTTGCTTTCACCAATCTCTGGGACCCGTACATCCAGAGCCTCATCGGCATCCTCTTCGGGGCGCGCGTCACGGGCATCGCCCTCCAATGGCTTTGGCCCCTCGGCACGCACCGAACGGCAACGGCCACGGCGGTCCCCGCCGGGGGTCCGCGCCACGTCGCACCGAGGGGCGGCGCCAAGGCGAACTGAGCCGGTTCGCACGAGCGAACTCGATGTGTCCAGCGAGCCAACGTGCGACGTGTCCAGCCGAAGGTTGGGGCGATGTGTTCGAAACATGGCGACCAGGGGAGTGAATGCTTGAAGCCTGCGCAAACGGGTGCTCTGGGTCGAGACTCAAAACCTGAGCCTAGATGTTTTTCTCAGAACACATCAGAACCACCCCACAAACCTTTGCACCACATTTTTTAAAAAGAGTGCCAGGGATCCACTCAGCAGAATCAAACATCACAAGCAGCGACCAAAAATCGTGGAGGTTCTTCCGGTCCCCCAAAAGTTGAACAGCGGTCGATTGTTTGGGTTGAGAAACACTTTGGACCCGTAAAGTGACTTGGATGCTAGACCACTATATCCAGTTTCTTTGAAGCTTTTTGGTTGAACATGGTGAGGTAGCCAGACCTTTCATCACGAAATCCGCATTATGCTGTCTTCGACCAGCTTGTGCACCTGTCAGCTCCGCTCCGTTTCGTGCCACGTTTCGCGCGTGTGGTCAGAGCTCCGCGCGCTCCACGGCACCACAGAGCGGCGACTGGCGCCAGACCGGATTCCGCGGTCCGATTCGCCCCAAAAAGGAGCTGGGACGGCCTGGGAGCGGCGGTGGTTCGACCAAATGGCTGGTGAGAAGACGCGGGATGACCCGTGTTCTGAGCGTGGCATGACATTGGAGCGTCAGAAGGAAGATTTTGACTGATCCTGATTTTGCGAACAGAATCGACCGTCCTACTGAGGGGGTTTTCAGGCTTTCCCTTTACCTGCAGTTTCTGGATCCAATGTGAGTTTTCAGAAGGCTTGGATTTCCAAGGGTCCAAGGTGTTTGGCCGTTCCTGGGTGGCCAGCCATGAGTTTTCAATTTCAATCCTGTTTGATTCGAAAGACCTGCCGGAACCCCATGGATTCGATTCATCGCGGATGTTTTTTCATCGCGGATCTGCTGGAGCCCCGGATTCCGCTCCAGGTGGCCAAGACGATTGATGCAGAGAAGATTCCAGATTTGGACAAGCGGGCTTGCTCAGGATCTGGTGACAACTAACTAGTTGTAGTGGGTGGGATGTGATTTTTTCCACCATCCTCCATGTACATCTATGTACGCCTGAACCATAGGGGTGTAAAGCAAGGTGTGTTCTTTTCCTCTCACTGAAAAGATCTTGATCATCCTTTGTTCGCAGTACATCTGGTCGATCGAGAAGCCCAGGAACATGATGAAGTTGGGAGAACATGCATTTCCGTGACCATGGTATGCACAAATCAATACAAATCAGAAATCAAGAGTACTTGAGAATGCTTAGCTGAGGAATTTCAACCAAAGGAACGGGGCCCCGACGGTTCCCGGACGGTCCGTTTTCACTCGCTTCTCAGGCACGTCCAGGACGCGCGGAACCTCAGACGGACGCACGGAAGCCATCGCTGTTGCTGGGCATCTCATGACGTATATCGTCGTCCCTATAAAAACCGTTGTCGAATTGATGTTAGAGTCGACCTTTCCGAAAAAGCCGACTGGCCCGGACTGACAACATCTCACAACTTTTGGAGTGTGGGACAAGAGCAAGGAGGATGGTAGAGCAGCTCAACACCCTGCCTGGCCCTGGGAGTTTGAACCAATTGTCACGATGCCTGTAGTGCAGTACAAAGGGTCAGTTCCCCATTCTTTCTCTAAATCCATGCTTGATTAATGCTGTAGAGGATTGTAGAGGGATGTAGAGTAGAGGGTATGGATCATGACTCCCATCACCCAAATCGCCGGTCTCGCACCACTCGCGCTGAAGTCTCAGTGGGTGGGCCTGGTTCAGCATGAAGTGCAGATTGAAGAATGCGTTTCCACAGTAGGTCGGCGGTCTACTTTCCATGCATCCAAGGCTCTTTTTGAGGACAGGTCTCTCAGTGTGAAGCAGACTCAACATGTTGCTACGATCGGCAGGGTTTTAAGGACGGGAGAATGGCCCTTTGCTTGCGGTTGCTTTGTTTGGTGTTGACATTTTTTAAAAATCAACGTGGCGGTCCATTGCTTGCTTACTGTTGTTGGAGTGAAGCCTTGTCTTCCACCTTTAAAGGCTGGTGACAGGGTCCAACGTTTTTTTCAGGACCTGCCCTCGCACCATGAAGCTCTACCTTTTTGCTGCGGTGGGCTGGGTGCATGTCAAACCAATGTGATGTTCGCTACAAAAGTACAATGGGATTCTTAAGAAGGGATCAAACAGCACGGCTCAGGAATAACATTCTTTTACATCATGAATCAGAGTTTGTCATCAGAAAGCATACCTACACCATCTTACACATGGCCCCTGGGAGAAACAATATTGCCGACTGGAGCAGGTTGATGGCTCCCTAAATATATTGGAAGATTTGGCAAATGGTGGATTAAATGGCATGGTGTGGAGTTTTCCGCGACTTGGCGCTCTCAAGCAGTGCCAAGAATTCGATCCGCGAATCACATCAATATGAGGCCGGCACAGATGTGGTGAATGCCAAGAGTGGCAAGGGAAGTGCAACGTTGTCGATGGCCTACGCAGGCCCCGCATGATGTGGCAGGGCTTGGTGGGGTTTGAATGCGTTTTGGCGAGTCAGATTTGGAGGCCTCGGGAATCTAGCGTGCAGTGCAGAACTTACAGAGGGATCTCCTACCTCAGATTCTTCTTTCAATTTTTCCTTTCAGTGGTCGTGATGGAGCTGGAGCAGATTTCATCCGGAAACCATTGAACCGGGTGGGAAATCAAATTCTGCTATATAATGATCGCAACTACGACTTGTTGGTGACCAGATTGCCCTTGCTTTCTGTTTCTTCTTAGGCCTGTGGGCTCAAAATAGAAACCCTTACGTGGAGAAACCACGATTTCTGAACGCGCCTTTGTTTGGGACAACAGGTGGGGAGCACCTTCGAGGTTGGTCATCTGCTCAAACAGAAACAGGGAGAAAAGGAGAGCGTGGCCTGCAAGTCGACGCACCAAAACATGCCAAACCCCGTGCACGAAACACTCAGAGACATCCTTGGAACAGAAAGAAGCCGATGGAATCCCTCGACGAAGAAGCGCTGAAAAGCCGACGGCGCCCAGGTGCGCGTTTGGGAAAGTCGATCCTCGCGGGCCTGTGAGAGTCTCAGCCGGAGAGTCAAAAACACAGGTTCGAACCTGGCGAAGAGATGCGAAGAGCCTGGAAGATCACGGAAGATCATCAGCCATCTCCAGCCAGCCCAGAAAACCACCTTCTGAAGTTTTGACAGTGTTTGGTATCAGAGTGACCTGCCAAATTTCTGTGACCGACAAGCAGCCAGTTCTTGTTCCTTGCATTCATCAGAGTTGGAAATTTGATGAAATTGGTGCAATTTTAGGAACCGCTGACACTCAACCACCATAAGGAAAACTGGTTCAACTGGTTCATTTTTTCTCTTCTTCCCATATTTCTTCCCCACTTCTTTTTGTTCCAGCGGGCACAATGCTCGTTACGCCATTGAGGATGGGCAAGAAGCGAATTGAGTGTGCCTATGTGAAGTCCGACATCACTGCTCAGCTGGCGTGGTTCAGCTCGACCCCAGCTACCCATTGCAATATGCTGTTCTTCCTGTGTCCTATACCAAAACCATCCAACAACTTGATAGGGCCCATTTAAAGGCTACTAATCAATTACATTTTGGTCACAGGTGTTGGAAGGATATGACCATTCTTTTGGTGTTTTTCTGAGGTTCCTTGCAAACCCGAACCAACCTGTGAGGGTGCCTTCTCCTGAAATCCACGACAACCATGTTCCACGACCCTCGTCCTCGTCCTCGGTCCTCACCAAAGAAGCGTTTTCCCGCGCGAGAAGACCACGCGCGAGAAGACCGTTCGCGAACCCGTCGTGGAACGGGCGGTGGGTCGGCGGAACCTGTCCGGACGGACGAGAGCGCGGAAGCCGCCAGGATCTGCCCTACTTTGCTTCGAAAGTCCAGCGACTTCGCAGCAGCGGACCGACCTCGCGGACGGATGTAGGGCGGGTCTCGGCGCGTCCGTGCGGAGGGACGTGCGGAGGGACGGGGCAGTGACGGGACGCACGGATCGTGCTTTTGGAAAAGATCGGTTTTGGGGGGGTCCAGGTTGGCTTGAAGAAAACGATCGCGCGCAGGACAAAAGGTGGTGAAATACCCATGAAGGGTCAAAGAATTGGGTCCACTCCGCCAATGTTTCAGTTTCTGTTTGCTGATTCATGTCTCACCATACAGCGAACAACAAGGTGTCTAAGTGATGACACCATGCGTGTTCGTCCATGGTCGTCTTTATCTCGTGACTCATGCCTTGGTATTTGAGGGTTGGCGTTTCAGCCCCCCAGTGAGTGGAGTATGGGGACCTTGTCAACCCGGACATGATTAACGGATATTAACGGCAGTGACTCACAGACGAACGGTGAGCAGACGACGGTTCGGCAGGATGGTTTTTCTATTTTTTCCGGTTGAGTGTTCTCTATTTCTCTCTTATGTAGAGCAAGAAAGTCCCGAGAGCACCCACATCTACGCAGCCGGCTGCGCAAACCCGTGAAACGATCTCTTTTTAATGATTACAGTAAGGAGCCAGTTTCCTACTGGGTAAGGCGCTGTCTTTGGATTCAAACTCAACGTGAGTTGGAAACACGTCATTCACTACCGTCTTTTGAAAGCAGGTTTCTGCAATCAGCTTCTCCTCTGGGAGAGCTCGGGTGCCGAACATGCGACCAAATGAGCAACTGTTTCAATCACCGTCCGTCCGCATCCTTGACCGGCATCGTCTGCATCGTCTGCTTCGCAGCAATCCCCGAACACCCCTATGCGCCGTTCGCAAAACCCCGAAGTGTTCGGTCCGAAACGGCTGATTGACTTGCCCTGGCCAAGTTCGGTCCACATGTTCCGTTCCTCCCAGCAGCGCAATTCTGTTCTCAACCACATGATGCTGCAAAGACAACAAAACAACAGTCCAATCGAGTCCAATCTTTTTTTGTCCAAGAAACGTGTACTGTAGATTCAGATTCTGAGAACCAAACTTCGTTTCCTTTCAACCCGCCCAACGTCCGTGGGAACGCATCAACCCGACGAGGTTTGGCGAGAAGGGCGTGACCAAGGCGGGTGGGATGGATTGGATGAAGCGACAGGGGCATCGGATGAAGCGAAAGTCGGTTGAAAACTGAGGATCGTTGAACCGTATGTATGTTTTGTTTTTGTTTGGGACGGCGTCCTCTTTCTGAATCTAAGCTGTACCCGGAGCCTGGAACCGTGCACCGCAACAAACATCGCATGCAGCGATGACGATGTGAAACACTTATCTTCGGATACTTTTCCCTAACAATCCATATGTATGGAATATTTTTCCACATTGGTGTGATTTTAATTCAGGGTCAATGCAAGTAAATATTCAAGTCCCATGGATTGTTAGGGTTTGGCTCTGTCGATGTTTTAACCGGCCGTATGGTGGCCGAGCCGAACTTGACATGGTTAGCTGGGTGGTCTACTTAAAAGTGAACATGGCGCGGTGCCTCATTTTTTGGCGCACGAACAAGACGGACACGCCATTTCTGTTGTCTTGTTTTGGATCTGTAACGGAGGAGGGTGGGGAAGGAAAAGTGCGATAGCGTTCCGCAAAGAAGGCACGCGCGTGACCACAGCAGTGTGGCTGTCGATCCTCATGCGAGGCCGTGCGGCCGTGCGGCGAAAGCTCTTACCCCTAGACTTCCAAGACCATTTAAAACATGGTTGACCTAGGTGTTTGTAGTGTAAAATCCTCAGTTGATTCGGTAACGCCCATTGAACTAATATATATTAAGGGGGGGTGGAAGCCTAGGGTACGTAGCGATCACGCGTAGGACGAAGGAGAGCGGTCGCGACACGTAGGAGAGCTCGCCGTGTTGGCCGCAGGTGTTGCCGTTGGGCGAGCTCAGCGACTATGAGAAGAAGCGCTTGGAGGAAGTGAAGGCGCCGCAAGAACGCCAAGGTCTTTTCATTGGTCCTTTAGGGCCTTTTTCGGAGCCTCCGCCGATGTTTGATCTTCAGGTTTGGTTTGGTTGTCCAAGCCAGAAGACTTGATACAGAGATTTTGGGGGTGACGTTATCCATGAATTGCTTGGGAATGTTTTTACCGTTTTGTTGGGAGTTTCCAGGACCGCTGAGGGTCCTGGAAAAATTTTTGGCTAGTCACGTGGCTGGAGTTCCCATCCTAAAGGCTTTTGTATGACCCTACACCCACACCCCTTTCGCCCGACTCCAGCCTTGCGCCCGACTCGCAGACCCAACTCAAGACGGAGATCGACTCCGGCTTGAAGTACGCTGAGGCCACGGGGGATGAGCTTCGACCCGCCCCAGTGATGGAAGCCACGCGAATTCGTGAGATGTGTCTTATTTCGTGGTAAAGTAGAGACCAAGGACCAAGTGGATGACAGAAAGAGCTGACCACTTGAATTCATACTCTTCAACTATATTATATAAATATGTCATTGATTTCTTTTGATGTCTTTAGGAGATGTATCCCATTGTCATTCAACTTCCGCTCAGGCACCAGCTTTGTGGAGTTCCCTCCTTTTCTAGCCAACGCAGATCTCATGGAACCTGCAAACTGCATCACTCGCGATTTCTGTGGAAGATCGTCTTCCTAAGCCATGCGATTTCTGTGGTTTGAGTTCGTTCTCAAACCCGGCGTCCAAACCCTGACCCAACGGATTCCTGGGGGGAGATCGCGTCTAGGACGGATCGGTCCCGTCTTCCTGGTGAGGGGTCCCTGCGTCAACACCCCAAACGGATCCACGGAGGGGTCTTCTGAGGGTTTTTGCGAGGTCGGACATGGTTTCATGGAGTGAATACCACCTGTTTTGTAAAGAAAAAGGCTATATATATATACAAATATACAATCCGAACATCAGGGCAATGCCACGTACGTCACCATGAATGATTCCAGTGTACCCAGTTCTTTTTTTGTTTTGCATGCTTTGAATGCTTTTTTCCTTCGCCGGAACTGGATGCTACTCAGCCTGGTGCAGGAGAACAGCCTGGCCGATTGAGGCGAGGAGAGTCGGGTTGGGGAACATGTCGTTCGGTGCTTCACCATGCCCAGACACTCCATGAGACTGCCATATATGCCTACATGGACCCCCTGGCACCTCCCCTGGCCTGATCGGCAGTCCTATGGCAGTCCCATGCAGTGTCTGGCATGTGTTTTCGGAGAAGCCGCACGGCGCCGTCCGTGATGTTTTGTCGGCCCAGTCGATGCCAAACGGATCGGATTCGTCGTTCCACAATTGTGATCGATCCAGCATCTCGCTGGAAAGAAGTCCAAAAAAACGAAGTCCAGTTCACACGGTTGACCTCTCTATTTCAGGGTATTGGAGGGGATTTTCTGGTGATCTTTCAAGTCGAAGGTCGATGCTCCATTTGCGCGCAACGTCTACCCTCCCAACAATCACGGAAGTGGAGTTCACTGCCAGTTTGAGCTTCGTATTTCATGGTCTTCCTAGAAACCCATGCCGTCCACTTTCATGATCGTTGCAGGGATGGTATCAGCTTTGCTGGGTGAACTTAAGGGTGTGGAGGTCACT